CAGAACCAGGCTCCATATCAGCAGCCTTCTGCCGGGTCCGACTGGGTTCAGTAGAGAAAGGCAGATAACAAAGGGAATAATAGACGCACTGATTTAAAACATCTTATGTTAGATCAGATAAACTAGCTCCATAGGTGGCTCTGACTAGTAAAGATAGGGTTAGGGTTTGCAAGCTAGCTCTTAACCAGTTTCATGCCAAAAAGGAATGAAAGTATGCACACACAAAACAAAAACAAAAAACACACACACAAAAAATTTTTTAGGTGCCAAGGGTACTAGGGTTTTGACCCAGAGTTCACCATGGCCAACATTAAGTATCATTGGGATGACCATGAGGACAGGACTTCAGATCAGAGGCGGGTTTTTCTGTTTTCTGAGGCCAAGTATCCTGCAACTGTTAGATCCAACGCACCTGAATCAAGTAATTGGCTGATTAAAAAAGAATCTGGAGAAATTAATTAAAAAATGAGGAGGTAATTCAGATATTTCATCCAGGTGTGTTGGACCAAGGATGAATCTAGATCTATCCTGCTTGAGATAGATTGCCAGTGGGAAATGTGATCCTGGATCATTTGAGATGTATCTGTCACTGGGAAGAGTTGGCTGGTCTTAATCCCCCATCTCCATAGAGAACAGGATTAAGGAGAGACTGACTGACATAAGCCCTTTTTTCTACTGGACTTTCTGACATCGACTTTGCCCAATTCGGCCATTTTTTCAATAATTTCCATAACTTCTCTTTAATGTTGGGTGACCAGACTGCTGTTCATCATTGTTCATGGCTGGGATCAGCTGTATGTTGAACAAAGCTAAATAGGAAGAGGACAACAATTTACTGGAAACATCTTAATGTAAAAAAAAAAGGGAATACCGAGGATAAAAGTAATCTCTTGTTTCTAAGCTTAAACCAGGCTATAAAACGATGCTGCCTCAACAGACATCATCACATAATAAAGGGTCAACATCAGATATATCCAGTACTCCAGTTGAGGGGGGATGGCATCCCCCTTCTTAAAAATTAAAAAAAAAAAATCATCCCCCTTCTTAATGTCCATGCCCCCATACCATCCCTGTAATATTTTATCACTAAATGTGTAAATTTATATTATATATTAACAGTAATGCCAATAATATTGCTCATTTGGCAGACTGTGCGCTTACAAGTAGCCTGACCAAATTATGGCCCAGAGGGCACATGCAATTTTATTTTCGGCCTCAATGGTGCAACCTGCAGAGCAGGTGATGGTGTGTGAACAGCATCATGCTCCAAGCGGCAAAGACAACGCAATTTAAAGATTTTTTTTTTCAGGCAAATCAAGTTTACCTAGTGATAGCCACTAGGTAAACTAGTTTGAAACGCAAATATTTTTCTGTCTTTAAAGTTGTCATGACACACAAGAATTAGTCTAAATCAGGGGTTTTCAACGTTTTCCAGGCCAAGGACCCCCAAACTTATGGCGAGATGGAGCGGGGACCCCCTAAATATATATTGTATGAAATTGTGTTATATCAAACTGGTCCTATAGTCACACTATTACAGATGGAGTAATGTAATGAAAGTAATTTCTCCCTGGGTGTCATGATGGGTCAGAGAGGCCCAAGGATGCAGAACACCAAGGAGGCAGAAACAGGGGTAAAAGTTATAACAGAGTTTATTGAAGATTGTCACAAATATAACGACTGGTACTGGATCACTTCTGGGGGTCTGGTACTCGGGTAACTGGAAGGGAGACAGTTCAGTTAGCCACGTAGCTGAAGAGTGTTGGGATGTAATTGTTCAGAGATCTACCTTGTAGAATCCGGGTTTGGTCTTTGAGAGAGGCACTGTTGGGTCCAGAGACTGTTTGGATCGACAGAGTTCGGTTTACAGCTTCAGCGTCTTGCATCTAGTTTAGGACAGACCTTGGTTCTCCAGCTCTTAGCCAGAGCTGCGTTGATATCCAGGAGGAGTCTTCAGGTTTGGCTCAGAGGGCAGTTAGACAGGTTAAGCTCATCCAGAGCTTACAGGACAAAAACAGGTTTCCTGTAGGCAGAGACAAAAAGGGGAATTAGAATCCACTAGGAGACAAGAAGCAATCAAAGTAATCACAGAGATAGAGAGGCTCAGGTGCTAACCAAACTGGATAAACACTGCGGCGTTGATGCAAGGTCTGAGGACAGCTTATATAGTGGAGGATCCTCCTGATGACGAGATGGGCTTCAGGTGTGTCGAAGGCTCAGCTCAGGAGGATCCACAGCGAACTCTGCTGGAGACAGGTGGTACAGCTCCAGATCCCAACAGTACCCCCCCCTCAACGACCGCCTCTTGGCGGTCCAGAAGATGTCGAAGGAAGGGATCGCTCGTACTCCTCGATGAGGGACGGGTCGAGAATGTAGGAACCAGGGACCCACTGGCGATCCTCCGGACCGTAGCCCTCCCAGTCGACGAGGTACTGCCATCCACGACCTCGCCGACGGGAGTCCACGATCCGGCGGACGGTGAAAGCTGGATGTCCATCGACTTCCAGGGCGGGTGGAGGGGAGTCGGACGGAGGGCACAGAGGGCTGGAGATCACAGGCTTGATCTGAGAGACGTGGAATGTTGGATGAATACGGAGAGTCGGAGGGAGTTGTAGTCGGACGGCTGATGGGTTAATGACTTGGGAAATCGTGTAGGGTCCAATGAATCTGGGAGAGAGCTTGCGGGACATCCCCTTGAGGGGAATGTCCCGAGTAGAGAGCCATACCTCCTGACCGACGGAGTAAGCTGGAGCAGGGCGTCTTCTAGAGTCGGCAAAACGTCTTGTGGTCTCCATGGAACGGTTGAGGGTGGCTATGGCGTCTCTCCAGATGCGATGACAGCGGCGGATGTGGTGGTTGACTGACTTGACCGAAATCTCTCTCTCGTCTGCGGGAAAAAGTGGAGGTTGATAACCGAGACTGACCTGGAATGGAGATTGGCCGGTGGAAGCTGATTTCAGGGAGTTGTGAGCGTATTCTATCCAAGGGAGGTGTTGGCTCCAGTCGGTGGGATGACTGGAGGTTAGACAGCGAAGGGAGGATTCGAGCTGTTGATTCATACGCTCTGTCTGACCATTGGACTGGGGGTGGTAACCTGAGGTGACAGATGGCTTGCAGTTGAGAGCAGAACAGAAGGCTTTCCATACCTGCGAGATGAATTGTGGACCACGATCGGAAAGGATCTCTTGGGGGATACCATGTAAGCGGAAGACATGTTTGATTAGAAGCTGGGCGGTCTGAAAAGCTGTGGGAAGCTTCCTAAGGGGAACAAGATGGCAGGACTTGGAAAAACGGTCAACGATCGTGAGAATAGTGGACATACCTCGAGACACAGGGAGACCAGTGACAAAGTCAATTGCGATATGGGACCAGGGACGAGATGGTATAGGAAGTGGATGCAACAGGCCAGAAGGAGGTTGGTGTGTGGATTTGTTTCTAGCGCAGGTAGGACAGGCCAACACATATTCCTTAACGTCCCTGTGAAGGGTGGGCCACCAGAAACGCCTAGAGATGAGGTTGATGGTTCTGCTCACCCCTGGATGAGCGGCAAACTTGGCATTGTGCATCCACTGAATGAGACGAGACCTGACGGATGAAGGAATATAAGACTTGTTAGGTGGACCGTTACCTGGGTCAGGTTCAGAGGCCAGAGCAGAATTTATTAGATCGGTAATCTCCCAGGTAACCACCCCAATGGTGCAGGAAGCGGGTAGAACAGGTTCAGGCGTCTCGGATTGATCGGAGGAGTATAGACGAGAGAGAGAATCGGGTTTGATGTTCTTTGATCCTGGTCTGTAAGAGATGATGAGGTTAAATCTGGAGAAGAATAGTGACCACCTTGACTGCCGAGGGTTGACCTGTTTGGCGGATTGGATATAAGCGAGGTTCTTATGATCAGTCCAAACGAGAACCGGGTGTTCCGCCCCCTCCAGCCAGTGTCTCCACTCCTCCAAAGCCAATTTTATGGCTAGTAGTTCACGGTCACCAACGTCGTAATTCTGTTCGGCAGAAGAGAGTCTTCGGGAGAAAAAGGCACATGGGTGAACTTTTTGATCAGAATCCAGTCTTTGGGATAGAACGGCACCAACTCCTGAGTTGGAAGAGTCGACTTCAAGGATGAACTGCTTTGTAGGATCAGGCTGGATTAATACTGGAGCTCTGGAAAACAACATCTTCAATTTTTCAAAAGCGGATTGTGCCTCAGGGGACCATTGAAAAGTTCTCTTGACTGAAGTGAGTGAGGTTAGTGGCAGGGCTGTCTGGCTATAGTTCCTGATAAATCGCCGATAAAAATTTGCAAAACCCAGGAATCTCTGCAGCTGTTTGCGGTTTTCCTGGGACTGGCCATTCCAGGACTGCCTTTATCTTATCCTGGGATGGCTTAACCTGTCCACCCTCGAGCTCAAACCCCAAAAAGGTGACTGAAGGTTGGTGAAACTCGCATTTCTCTGCCTTGACGAAAAGCTTATTTTCTAGGAGTCTCTGTAAAACCAGGCGAACATGTTTCTTGTGTTCAGAAAGATCCTTGGAATAAATGAGAATATCATCGATGTAGACAAAAACGAACATGTTCAAAAAATCTCTGAGGACATCGTTGACTAAAGCTTGAAAACATGCAGGGGCGTTCGTTAAACCAAAAGGCATGACTAAGTACTCGAATTGACCTAGAGGGGTCTTAAAGGCTGTCTTCCATTCATCGCCCTCTCTGATTCTGAGAAGGTGATAGGCGTTCCTTAAGTCGAGCTTAGTAAAAACGGTTGCACCCTGAACTGGTTCGAAAGCTGAAGCGAGTAGGGGAAGTGGGTACTTATTTTTAACTGTGATCTGGTTTAAACCTCTGTAGTCGATACATGGTCTAAGAGATCCGTCCTTTTTACCCACAAAAAAGAAGCCTGCCCCCAAAGGAGAAGATGAAGGACGAATTATTCCAGCAGCTAGAGATTCATTAATGTACTTTTCCATCGTCTCTCGTTCAGGCTTGGAGATATTGTATAGCCTACTGCCGGGTAGAGGGGCCCCTGGTAATAATTCAATGGCACAGTCGTATGGTCTGTGAGGTGGAAGGGACGTAGCACTGACCTTACTGAAGACAGGGGCTAGATCATGGTACTCTGGAGGAACAGAAGAAAGGTCAGGAGCGTCCATCTCCCTCCCACCCCTAGGAGATCTTACAGCGGGGGCCGCTGAACGAAGACAAGTTTCATGGCATGAGGTTGACCATGACTCGATGTGGTGATCGGTCCAATTTATGTGGGGGTTATGTCGTTCCAGCCATTCAAAACCCAGAACCAAAGGAGAACATGCGGAGGGAAACACAAAAAAAGATAAGGTTTCACGATGGTTACCTGAGACCAACAGCTCGAGGGGTTGAGTTTGGTGGGTAACTTGATGAAGTTCTTTTCCATCGATCGCGGAGACACAGAGAGGCTGGGTTAGGGGAACAGTTTCAATCTTTAATTGTTCCACCAGATTGGAATCAATTAGGTTTCTCTCACAACCTGAGTCGATGAAAGCAGATAAGGTGAGGTTTTGGTCGGCAAAAAACAACGTAGCAGGAAGTAATAGGCGAGGAGATTTTTTTGAAATGACATGGCCCGTCAGACTCCTCAGATCCTCTGACGGGCCCCGGCTTTTGATTTAGCTGGGCATGAGGCAATGAAATGTCCACTCTCACCACAGTAGATGCACAGCTTGCTCCTGACATGCCTTAGCCTCTCCTCTGGGGTTAGCCTTGTATGCCCAACCTGCATGGGCTCGGTCTCCATTTCTACCGTATGGGAGGCCTGAACAGGCAACGGGAGAGATTGGGTTTTAGATCTCGGCTTAGAAAAATTCTCTGTGGAGGAGGAGAAGGCAGGCACATCATTAGTAACAGAATTAACAGAACCATGATTCTTTGGCTTGGAGCTAATTCTAGCTCGAATCCTATTATCCAACCTAATAGTCAGGCGGATTAATTCCTCTAAAGTGGCGGGTTCGTCGAGGGTATCAAGCTCATCCTTAATGTTTTCGTTGAGAGCCTCAAAAAATGCAGTCTTTAGAGCACATTGGTTCCAACCGGAAGCTGCGGCTTTAACCCGGAAGTGAATTGAAAATTCGGCAACATAAGAATTTCCTTGTTTTAGCTTCAGAAGAGTACGAGAGTCAACTGTTTGATCTGTTTCCTGGTTAAATACTTGTGAAAACTCAGAGATAAAATCAGAGTACAGGCAATTAAGGCTTTCGTCAGAAGATAACCTGGCCTGCGCCCATTCTAGAGCTCTGCCAGTCAATTGGGACAAAATGAACAATATTTTCTTGTAGTCTGTAGGAAAACTACCAGGAGAGTTTTTGAATATCAGCCGGCATTGAAATAGGAATCCTTTACATTCACTCATGTTACCTGAAAACTTTTCAGGGAGACTGGGTCGAAACTCAGACGATGACGTCACCGCCGGTGACCTCGGAAAAGGAACTGGACCCGGAAATGGTTGTTCAGGCGGCGTGGCGTTAGCATAGCTCAATCTGTTAGAGAGGTTTTGAATCTCTTGATTTTGATACAGAACCATTCTGTGTAACTCACGTAAGGTTTGGGTTTGTCCCATAATCTGGGCATCTTGTTCCTCCAACCGACGATGAAGTTGGTCTGCTGGGCCTTGTGTTAGGCCGCAGTGTTCTGTCATGATGGGTCAGAGAGGCCCAAGGATGCAGAACACCACGGAGGCAGAAACAGGGGTAAAAGTTATAACAGAGTTTATTGAAGATTGTCACAAATATAACGACTGGTACTGGATCACTTCTGGGGGTCTGGTACTCGGGTAACTGGAAGGGAGACAGTTCAGTTAGCCACGTAGCTGAAGAGTGTTGGGATGTAATTGTTCAGAGATCTACCTTGTAGAATCCGGGTTTGGTCTTTGAGAGAGGCACTGTTGGGTCCAGAGACTGTTTGGATCGACAGAGTTCAGTTTACAGCTTCAGCGTCTTGCATCTAGTTTAGGACAGACCTTGGTTCTCCAGCTCTTAGCCAGAGCTGCGTTGATATCCAGGAGGAGTCTTCAGGTTTGGCTCAGAGGGCAGTTAGACAGGTTAAGCTCATCCAGAGCTTACAGGACAAAAACAGGTTTCCTGTAGGCAGAGACAAAAAGGGGAATTAGAATCCACTAGGAGACAAGAAGCAATCAAAGTAATCACAGAGATAGAGAGGCTCAGGTGCTAACCAAACTGGATAAACACTGCGGCGTTGATGCAAGGTCTGAGGACAGCTTATATAGTGGAGGATCCTCCTGATGACGAGATGGGCTTCAGGTGTGTCGAAGGCTCAGCTCAGGAGGATCCACAGCGAACTCTGCTGGAGACAGGTGGTACAGCTCCAGATCCCAACACTGGGATTATTAAAGTATTTCTGATTGTGATTCCTGGTTGAATGGACAGGTGTTGTGAATGAAACGGTTCCTAACTTGAAAGAGCTCCTGTGTGTCGTATTGAGATTGGGTCCCAGTTTTCTTTTTTTCAAAAGAAATTGCTCTAATGTTTAAAGCTGAATGCATCGTGTGTTTTTTGTTCTAATTCAGATTTTATAGAAAAATGTAATTTTAAGTTAAATTAAGTGAAAAATATATAAAATTCCTAAATTATGAATGTATATTGACCTAATAAGAAATATAATTTTAATTAAACCTAATATATTATTATATATTATAATATATTAAACCTTAATATATTTGAATCCCTTGCCCTGTTTTTTTTATTTCATGCTTATCTGTGGCCCCAGGAAAACCAAGCTGGCCCCCTGGTACATTTGGTCTAAAACCGCCACTGGCATTAATGACTGAAAGACATCTTCTGCCTCCATTTATCTGTTTACTGCAGTGTGTTGAATTTATGTTAATGTGGATTTAAAGACATTTTAATTAGTGGGAAAAATTGCATTAATCAATTAATTAATCAACCAAAACTTTCGCGACCCCCATGCAGTACCTCTGGGAACCCCCTAGGGGTCACAGACCCCTGTTGAAGACCTCTGGTCTAGAGTGTAGAGGCTTTTCTGAACATTCAAAATCAGCATTTTGGTTGTGAATCAAACATAAAATTAATCTGTAGATGTTGGTGAGAGAAGTGGAGCTGTGGCCGAGAGCAGTGGAGGAAACCCGGAGGAGAGAATCGAAGGTTTGAAAAATGCATTTTAATTCAGCAATTTACTTTAAATTAGCCAATAGAAACAATACCGATTTTTTGATGAGCAGTCTATTTTATAAAATAAATACTGAACATTTGAAAGGTGAGTAAAATGATTAGATTTTATATAGGCTTATTTCATTTTTAGGCTAATTTGAATGTATTTGAATTTGTAAGCAGTTTTTTTTTTATTTTGAAAATAGTTTCAGGTGTTTCAATTGAATTAATTTAATTTGAATAAAAAAAAAAAAAACTTGACTTTAAGGGTTCAAATATTCATTTGCAATGTTTTGTAAGGTTTTGTTCCAAATCTTAAAAGATTCCTTGCCAAAAGATTTTCCAAAGTAAAATACAAAGACTATGAAGCTGATCCCAGTGGGAAATGAGTCCCTAACTATTTAGGGGCAGTGAAAGCCATGCCAGTCCAGGGACTGACTGCAGTTCTACTGTAAGGTGCCTTGGTCAGGGTCAATGATCGGCGTACCTGACATGTAACAACCATACCATGGATATTGCTTTAGGTTAATAGAATATATTAATTAGGCTATGTATGATTAAAAAAAAAAAAAATTCCACCATCCCCCTTCGTTTTTTTATAACTCAACTACTGGATATAGCTGAATAAAGAATCTAACAATCAGAAGATAATCATCAAAACTAATTCTTTATATATTTGGCCTAAATTAGTTATTTATAGGAGCAAGTATTACAAACACAATGTCCTGCAAAAGCATCCATGCAAATATTTTCACACTTGTTCTAAGTTACCTGCAAACTGCAGTGAGTTTGTTGAGATTTTTATGTACCAGACAAATCCAAAGTATTCCCTGGAAACTTTTTAATCATCCAGTGAGTATGATTTTATTATGCACTTTTTCCCTCTAACAACAACTGTCACAGTCAACATTAGTATGCTCTAGTTATACAATTATGTTCAAATTGTAACCACAAAATCTTGATTTATGGCGTCCTAATCAGTCGACATGACAATTAACCCACCTCCACAGCTGTGCACCTTCAGATTCAAAGACTTTGGTAAAGGATCTGCAAGACATTTGCATTTTCTGTCTCTATGTCTGGAGTATGCCCAAGCAATACTCATTTGACTTCAAAAAAGTTAAACTTTTTCAGTCAAATTAAGAGCATTAAATGTAAATCCGAGCTCTGATTGGACCACTATAACAGCTTAATGTGCTTTGATTTGAATCATCCTGTTGTAGCCGTCTGGCTGAATGTTAGTGCTTGTTCTCCAGCTAAAAGATTAACTTTAACCCAATGTTTTATTTCAGCTGTGCTCACTAGATTCAGCTTAGATTTTTATGGTCTTCTGTGTCCATTCTAAAGCAAAGGACCAAATGGTTTTACCACATGTTGGCATGATTGAAATTTAATGACAACACTAAGATGACAATCAGAGTAAATTTAATTTCGCTTCCAGATTCTGTCCAAAGTGCTGTTGGGATTGTAGGTATGAGCAGTGAGTGGATTTCATAAATTTACTTTAAAACAACCCAATAAGCAGATAAATTTTTATCATTAGGACAGTATTATTGATTAAAGCTAGTAAACATTTTAAAAACTAGTATTACATTTTTTTTAAATAAAAATATTTTTGATGTCTACAGTTTTATTGTCTCCTTCTTTCAGTTTTTGATAGGCAGCTGTGATTGATGTGTGAGTTCAGCCAGGGCAAAAGATCGATAATGATACCCTTGTGTTTATTAAATTTTGAGCTAATAGAATTAATTTCTTCTTCTTCTAAATGAGGCTGGATAAATATATCCACATCACGCTTTTCAGAATTAAAATTCAAGAAGAAAACAATAAAACCTTTTATTTTACATTGATCCACTT